GTCCAAAACTCGATTCCACCCAAGAACAACTTACGTAAATTACTAGCTATAGTAAGAAATTTACCTTAACGGTGAAAACGGAGAACGGAGGAACGGTCGGGGATGGTTTTGAGGAGATGAACGTAGCGCCAAACGTATGAAGCCTCCAACGTATCCACACGAACTTGCTCCGGAGTCCAAGATTAAACTTGTGCTAGCATGTTTAATATAGGATAGTAAAAACTATAATAATACTACTTTGGGAGTAATAAATATATAGTAAAATATTTATCTTATAAATATTTCTTTATAATATTTTGTGTATATTTCTAACACTTTAGAAAAATAACTTTGAACACAAAATAGGATTTTTCTTCTCTCTTCCTTGTGATGGCCGAAACTCACTCATAAAATGGGGAGGGATTTTTCTCATTTTATAATAAACAACTTAAATGAATTTCTAGGAAATAGCTTAGGGACAAAACAAATTAGGATTAATGTAATGTCCCCAACCAACACAACAAGACAAATATCTTTTTGTTAATCAAATATTTGATTATAAACTCAAATATATCATTAGGTGGAATATCAAAATATGTTTTGTAATTTTCCCCTTAGAATTTCGGCCCATATTAAAATACATTACATTTTATTTTTGCATCAATAATTATCATATAATTAAAATGATGAAAATAAAAAATAATATATATATATATCGGCGCTACATATATATATATATATATATATATATATATATAATAAAATTTGTTTTGTCAAAATATAATTATCATATAATTAAAATGGCACAAACAAAATATAATTTTAAAATACAAATGTATTTTCGAAATACACATATATATAATATTATCACAACTATATATTTAATATTACTCCCACTAGTGTAGTATACTACTCCCTTACAAGTCCTAAGTGTGTGACCCTTTAGGCATCCATAACACTGGCAATGATATTAATATAAATTAATACCATAGATAATAAGCGGTATCTAGCAACACATTATTATCCCCTGATTATGAAAAAGACGTTCATCTCATCAATACCTTCTACGACACAAGACGTTCTATAACTATTATCCTTCTGTCCTATATGTCATGATTTAACACAAGGCATGGGATGTGTATCCTTGTATAGTTAAATCAGCTGTTACTGAATCTCAAGTAGACTGGCAGGGATCAGATATTTATCAGTCTCTAGATAGCGACATATCTGGGCATGGCCATGCACTTTCCCAAGTCCTACTATTCAGTGGGCCCATTGACATTATACTTCTATACAGTAGAAGGGACAGATCCTGTATCTGTTATTCACATCTCTAAATATGCTTAGCGGCATACCCAACGCATAACTGTACGTCTACCAGTATTTCAGATAGCATTAGTTATGAATCAAAGCATACGGCCCCACATATCAGAGAATGTAATAACTTCAAGTCTGAGGATAGTTATAGCAAGGTCGATTTGAGAATACTGATAAACACATTACTGTAGATCCATGCAGTATTCTCAAGATGGGTCAATCCAGTCACATATTATCAANATAATATGCACCTACGTACAGATTAAGATATCACAATACCTATAGTCTATGAGACGCAACTATCTCATCTCGTACGTACTAGTCTTGATACGTTATGACGTCCGTATTATCATAAAGTGCGACTAGGGATATTCTAGACATAGCCTTCGTCAAGAAGTAACAGTCTCATAATCAGAACATCGTAGTCCTCATCTATGTTACTGAAGCGCTATCGTCTATGGACTGAAGCTATGTTATGTTACACGAGATATAAAACATACTTCAAGGTCTTTCATTCATGATAAAGTGTACAGTTACATAGGTATTTGATTGCCGCTAGGGCACCTAAATACAACAAAGGGCACTTCAAATGGGAGAGGGCAAATTACCTCTAAATTACTTAGGGGCAACCATTGGAAAAGGTAAACTAAGGAAGGAGGATTGCAAGAAAATTGTCCAACACTTTGATGCCTATCTTAACACTTGGTATAGCAAGGTGCAAAACCAAATGGGGCGTTTGATTCTCATTAAGCATGTCCTCAGTTCTATACCTTTACACATTGTTGTTGTCCAGCAAATGCCCAAATCTATTCACAACATGTTGAACAAGAAGATGCAAAACTTTCTATGGGGATTCAAAGAGGGAAGGCCTAAATATCATTGGGTATCTTAGGGAGGACTATGCTTCCCAAAACATGAGGGAGGACTGGGCATTAGACACCTGGAAGATGTAGAAGCAGCATACTCAGCCAAACTTTGGTGGAAGATTAGGAACTCCCATTGCATTTGGGGAGAATACATGAGGAGTAGATACCCAGATTCCTTTCAAGAACGTCCTAAGGACACTGTGACATGGAAAAGGGTTGCAAGGATTCATAATTGGGCCTTACAGCATGTCCTCAAAGTGGAAGAAGCAGACACCTGGGAGGGAGAGCCATTCACCACCAAGTTAGCATACCACGCCTGGAGGGACTCTAGGCCTTCCTCTCTTTCTCATAAGATAATCTGGAACAAGCTTCAGATCCCAAAGATCAGCCTGTTTCTGTGGAAAGCTTTTAACAATATACTTATATACTTCCTTTCCCGGAAAACTTAACCAGGTTTAACCTGGCGTTTCCTTCCCAATGCAGGTTCTGTTTCAACGGTCCGCAGGAACTCAACCATACCCTTTTTCATTGCCAAAGGTCTTTCAAAATTTGGAGGTTCTTCTCTGCTGTTTTTAATGGCCCTAATCCTAATAGGGAAGAAACCCTACACGAAACATGCATGAAATGGTGGGTATGCACGCCTAGGACTAAGCTGCAAGATAAAATCAACTCGGTTCTACCAGGCTTCGTTGCATGGGGATTATGGAAGGCTTACAACAAAGAGAAGTACGAGGGGAAAGCTTTCAAAGAAGGGAATATCATTGCAACAACCATGAAGACTATACAACAATGGATATGGATACACAATGGCAAGAAATGGATGCACCTGGATGAAACATTGAAATCGTTGGGCTTTCGGTTGCACTTTAGCAGGAATATTTCTCAATGCTTTGTTGTTTAAATTTTCGTATTTAAAATATATATATATATATATATATATATATATATATATATATATATATATATATATATATATAAATACGGTAAATATAAAATATTTTATTTTCTGGAATTTAGAAAATCAAATTTCTAACATTCTGGAAATTTAAAGTATTTTATGATTTTTAATTAAATTACTTGCTAGTTTAATTAATTTATTGTTGATAGTTTATTCCGTAGAATAGAATAAACTAGGTCTGGGGCGAGCGCGGTTCGCCCGGTGTATGCTTTAATATGTATGATGTGATGCATGTGATGCTTGTATGTATTATTGCATGGTGGATGATTGTGGCTTAGTTATATTTGTTGTAATTTTAAATACGGCTTGCGTGTCGTGCCTCATCTCTATACTCTGGATGTAATTCTCTTCTTTACCTCAAATATTCTTTTCTCTCGAAAATTATAAGAAGA